AGAGGAGGCATGAGAGAGAGGGGGGGACAAACAGCGAGAGAGAGAGAAGGAAAGAAAGGAGTACGGCAAAGTGAGGGAAAAATGGAGTGAGGAGGTAAAATGGAATCAGGAAGGAGTGAGACATAAGGTAGAACAGAGAGGAAGAGGGAGGGAAAAACAAACCGGATTGAGAGAGTGGGTAAAAACAGGAATGAGAGAGGGAGAAAATAGGAGTGAGGGGGGTTAAAACAGGAGTGAGGGGGTATAAAACAGGAGTGAGGGGGGTTAAAACAGGAACAAGATGGGGCAACAGTGAATAGGAAGTGGGGAGAACAGGACCGAAAGAGAGATGGAGGAAAAACAGGAATGATTGAGGGGGAGAGGGGATTAGGATAAATGGGAATGACAGAATAACAGGTTAACAAAACATCAAACACTGACAGCCACTTCCGTATGAAGGCACTTTATACAGTCACACAGCACAGATACAGACCCTTCGGCCCAACCAGTCCGTGCCGACCCTAATCCCAAACTAAACTAGTCCCACCTGCCTGCTCCTGGCCCATATCCCTCCAAACCTTTCCTATTCATGTACCTGTCCTGATGGCTTTTAAACATTGTAACTGTGCCCACATTTATCACTTCCTCTGGCAGCGCATTCCACATACAGACCACCCTCTGTGTGAAAATGTTGTCCCTCAGGTCCCTTTTAAATCTTTCTCCTCTCACCTTAAAATTACATCCTATAGTTTTGGGACTCCCTTACCCTGGGGAAAAGACCTTTGCTATTCACCTTATCAATAGCCCTCATGATTTTATAAACTTTCATAAAGTCACCTCTCAACCTCCTATGCGCCAGCGAAAGAAGTCCCAGCCTTATCCAGCCTCTCCTTATAACTCAAACCCTGAATTCCTGGCAAATTGCTGGTAAATCTCTTCTGAACCCTCTCCAGTTTAATAACATCCTTCCTATAACAGGGAGACCGGAACTGGACACAGTTGCTCCAGAAGAGGCCTCACCAACGTCCCTGTACAACCTCAACATGATGTCCCCAACTCCTACACTCAAAGGTTTGAGCAATGAAGGCAAGCGTGCTAAAGACCTTCTCAACCACCTTGTCTGTGTGTAATGCAACTTTTCAACGAACTACATTTAATATTTCTTGGAGAACGTAAAGCATTGGAAGAGTTTGGAAAATAAGATTCACTTTGAGCGTTGTGGGTGGAGTGGTTGTTTTAAGAGGTTGGTGTGGACACTGAAGCCTTTTCCAAACAAGTTTTCCATAAACCTGACGATGGATGATAACAGCTTGCTTTGGGGGTTAGACTCTGCTGGGGCTGTCTCAACAGTTAAATGTTGACCTTGACTCCACCATGACACATCAGGCCATTGTATCAACTACGGTAACTGACCCCATTTCATCTGGTGATCCCCCCCACTGCCTCCTAACTGATAAGCCCCAGCCCCGCACAGCTCGCTTCTACCCCCTTCCAAAAATCCACAAACAGGACTGTCTGGGCAGACCCATTGTTTCAGCCTGCTCCTACCTTGACTCAGTCTTCTCCCTGCTGGTCCAATCCCTGTCCACGTGCATCCATGATTCCTCTGATGCTTTATGCCAGGTTCAAAATTTCCAGTTTGCAGGCTCCTCATGCACACACTGTCACTCATAAACACACACACGCATACAGTCACTCATAAACATACATACACACACACTCACACTCACTCATAAAAACAGTCACTCATATTCGCGCGCACACACATACACACGTGCACACGCACACACACACACACAAACAAAAACACACATAGATAGAAACGTGCACAGTGTGAACACACAGTCTTAAACACAGACATACTGTGACCCTCCGATAACCTCCGTGCCGTCTGAGCCATACTGCAGCCTCCAACCAAGCCCCCCCCCCACACACTCTGAAACCCTCACCACACCCTCCAAACCCCCTCGCCCTCCAAAACACCCTCACCCTCCGAATCGCCCCATCATTTTGCCGTCTGACCAGGCCCTGTTCCCTCCCTGATGAGAGAGGCCGGAAGTGGGAGGGTGGTGAGTGCCCACCGCGATGCTCCTGTCCCCACCTCGGGTCGGTACCTGCACGTCGAGGGTGGAGAAGTAGCTGAGGAGCTGTCCCTCGTCGTCAATATCGGGTTTGGAACAGCCCGGACACACAAGGTTTTTGATGTGCTTCTCCCGCACGGTGAACGTGAAATAATTCTTGAAACAGTCCCGGCACACGGTACACTCACAGGAAGTGAGGGATTGCATCTGTGGGAGGGAGGGAGAGAGCGGTCAGCCAGGGAGAGGGGGAGAGCACGGTCAGCCAGGGAGAGAGGGAGAGCGCGGTCAGCCAGGGAGAGAGGGGTCAGACAGGGAGAGGGGGAGAGAGCAGTCAGACAGGGAGGGAGGGAAACAGCGGTCAGACAGGGAGGAAGGGGTCAGACAGGGAGAAGGGGAGAGAGCGGTCAGACAGGGAGGGAGGGAGAGAGGGAGAGAGGGAGGGACAGAGCGGTCAGTGAGGGAGAGAGCGGTCAGCCAGGGAGGGAGAGCGCGGTCAGCCAGGGAGGGAGCACGGTGAGACGCGGAGAGGGAGGGAGCGCGGTGAGACGGGGAGAGGGAGGGAGCGCGGTGAGACGCGGAGAGGGAGGAGAGCAGTGAGACACGGAGAGGGAGGGAGAGCAGTGAGAGGGAGGGAGAGCAGTGAGACACGGAGAGGGAGGGAGAGCAGTGAGACACGGAGGGAGGGAGAGCAGTGAGACACGGAGAGGGAGGGAGCGCGGTGAGACGCGGAGAGAGAGG